GGAGTCTGGATGATGATAACGTCATAAGTAGTATTTTTATTTTTTTACATTAATTGCAAAATGTTTACGTAAGCATGGGGGTAGGGGGTAAGAGCTTTGCTTACTTTTGCTGACAAGGGTGATGGGAAGGGTAAATAATTTCGCGACGCGCTTTATGCACACACCGTGATAATAACGCTATTGGTCAACTTTCCGTTTTTATGATTGCATATTGTTTTTACAAGAATTTTTAACTTCCCGAAGGAGAATTTTATGTTTTCATAAAAAAATCCGATTCGCTAATTTTATGTTTTCTCGACGTTTCAAGCCATTCTGAATCGAATGAGTCCAAGTTTGGAAAAAGTATATGTGTGTGTGTGTGTGTGCGTGTATGTGAACAGATTTTTTGCCGTAAATCGACGTTCTCTCAAAAACGATTCGACCAATTTCAAAAATTTAAAAGCCAATCGATGTATCTCGATGAGGATTATCGTTTGTCGGTTTTGTGCGACGATCTGCCGAGCTGTTTTTTTGTAAATAGCAGAAAAGTGAAAAATTTTTCGTCCACGTTTTAGCCCGCAATTCTGAATCGATTCTGAAATAAAGATCGGCCAAGCCGTTTTCTTGTAATGAAGTTTTTTTTAAAAAAAATCCAACGATTTTTATGATTTTTTGACGGTAGATATCATAGTCTTCTGATCATACTAAAATATTACCGCCCTACGACAACTCGTTTAGCTTTAAAAATTCGTCAAAGTTTGCAAATATTGGTATCGTTTTTTTGGCATTTGTTAAAATTAGACTTTTCATCGACGTTTGCTCAAAAATGCCTGAACCGATTTCAGAAATTTAAAAGTCATTCGATGTATCTCAATGAGCACTATAGTTTGTCAGTTTTGTGAGACGATCTGCCGAGCCGTTTCTTTGTAATTTGAAAAAGAGTGTTAAACTTTTTGTCTACATTTAAGCACATTCTACCGAATCAATTTTAAAAAATAAAAAACTGTACGAAATATATTAGTTGGGAATAATACTGATTAGTTTTAGATGAAAATCTACCGAGCCGTTTCCTTGTAATTAACTGTTGAAAACAAAATTTAAGCCGATTGTTCTGAAACTTTCTTTGGCGATGTATATCATGGTCTTATAAAACTTACCGAAATATTACAGCCTTACGACAAGTAGTTTGATTTTAAAAATTCATCAAAGTTTGAGAAAATGAGTAGTTTTGTTGACGTTTGTTAAAATTAAAAGTAGATGATTTACTTTGTATAACGATAGATTACTTGGTCTTAATAAACATACTAAACCGTTAACATTCTACGAAAACTGGTTCAATTATAAAAATTATTGATTAGTGAAAATTTGCTTTTAGAAAATACTCCGAGTTAACGTATTCGTTCGCTTTCAATTATGTGTAAAAAATCCACTCGGAATACTTTTAATCACTTATAAATTAATTCATATAGGGAAGTTCATGTAACTTGCCTCAAGGCTAAATACCAATAACAACTAATTTTCTAAATAAAGGAAAAGAGTTTTTTTTTGCGAAAAATAGGAAACGCGCGACGGGTTAAGCGTCGGGCATAAGGTGCATTTATCCCCTTCATGAACATTAACATGTTGAAGTTCTTGTCTGAAAGCGTGGCTCGTTTTGGTGTCAAAATGTCTTTACCCGTGAAAAACAAACGTTCAACTGCAGCGCTTGAGGGTATAGCAGTATTGTATTTAATAAATAGATTTATGAATATCTGTTCCCCGAGGAATGCAGCATCGTTGAACGAGTCTTTTGATTTCATGTCCAGCCACATTTTAACGAGACTTTGCGCTTTATTCTCCAAAGAGTTGGAGAATAAAGCGCATGGAGGTCCTTGGTTTTTCTATAGACTGAGTGACAGAATTGAAAAAGTCTTCCTCCTCGTCATCATCGTTGTTACTCGCATTGCTCCCTCCGTCACTTAAACTACCTCTGTCCTTCGAATTTTCCGCTGCTTTTTGCCGTAAGGCACCTTCTACCTTTTATCCATGCATTTTCTTACTGCATCCACTCTACTGCTGTCATACGTTTCCAGCCACATTAACCGAAACTTTGGGTGAAATGCCGCGGCATTCAGGAGTGGTCCAAATCTTGCGGCGCCGTGCGGTAAATAGTAGGCATTGGATTAACGATTAACGGACTTCTGGCATTTTAACGGAAGTTAACGTGTCCGTTAACATTTTTAAAAGTTAACTTAAAAGTTAATCCGTTAATCAAAATGTTAACTTCGTTAATTAACGATTAACGGATTAACGAGTTAATGCCCAGCTATGGATGTATATATCAATTAATTAATACTTTGATTTTACAAAACGTTATGAAATATGTCGTTTATTATTAAAATTGTAAATCGAGTAAATTTTGTTTGGAAATATTTAATCAAAGCCCTTTTTGTGGATTATTATTTGCATATACTAAAATGCACATATGCAAGACAACATAGGATTGAAAAATATATGATAAAACTAATATTATTTTTAAATCAGGCTTCAGCAACTTGTCATCTTACCTGCAACTTGTCATTTTTTTTCAATATTTAATTTCTAAAATCGGGCCAATTTCCGTTGGAGTTAAAGATTTGTATATAATGTAAATAATAGAGTTGGAGTATAGTTGCATCTTGTTGGATCACAAGCTTTGTCAATTGAAAACCTTATTTTAGAAATAATACCTATATTCACATTGCTTTGGCTTGTTGTGTATGTTCTTAATGTCATATTAAACGACTAGTTTGACCTTGATGAAATGGTTTGTGGAGAATCGAAATTTATAATTTTTTTTTCAAACTAGTGCGATATCCATTATTTGAACTATCTCCTAATTTGAAATTCATTGAGATACCGGAGTCGACGTTATTTTATTGTCACTTATTGGGATTACCTTTTTCATAACGATAATTGTTAAATAATTATGACTGTGCTTAAAAAATTTAACTAGTTGATATTGGTATTTTGCCTTGAGGCAAGTTACCTGAACTTTCCGATATGTGTAAATAATCGTCTTAAACAATAAAAAATAAATTAATTTATAAGTATTCCGTGTGGATTTATTACATATAATTGAAAACGAACGAACACGTTAACTCGGAGTATTTTCTAAAAGCAAATTTTCAAAAATCAATAGTTTTTATAATTGAACCAATTTCCGTAGGACTTTAATGGTTTAGCATGTTCATTAAAGCCAAGTACTCTATCGTTTTCCAAGTAAATCGTCTAATTTTAATTTTAACAAACGCCAAAAGCTACTCATTCTGCCAAACTTTGATGATTTTTTAAAACTAAACTACTTGTCGTAAGACCGTAATATTTCAATAAGTCCATGATATATATCATTAAAAAAAGTTTCATAAAAATCAGTTCAATTTTTTTTTCAACAACGAATTACAAGATAACGGTTCGGTAGACTTTCACCTAAAACTAATCAATATCATTCCCAATTAACATCTTACGAACAGTTTTTGATTTTTTAAAATCGGTTCGGTAGTATGAGCTTAAATGTGGACGAAAAGTTTAATACCCTTTTCCAAATTACAAAGAAACGGCTTAGCCGATCGCTGCACAAAACTGAGAAACGATAATCTTTTATCTTTTATCTTTTGATGATGATGATGATATATTAATAATATGTTGTTCAATTTCATACGAAGTGATAATGACACTGTAAAAATTAACGAAGGTAAAAGTTCAATGGTGCAAAAATTTGAAAAGTCTTTCAAAGAGGAGAAGAAATATCTTGTAGATTCGGAGGAATATAACTTTATAGCAAATAGTGAAAGCAATGATCAGAATGTATCAACTGAACCATCAACTTCTAGCATAATTTCATCAAATAAAACTTACATAAAGCCACTAGCCCGCCAATAATGTAAACTGATTCCAAGACAAAAGAGCTCAACGGGTAATTGTTATATATATATATATATATATATATATATATATATATATATATATATATATATACATATATATGCCTAATGATATTTATATATATATATATATATATATATATATATATTATATCATTAGGCAAAAGTCTACTAAATACGGAAGTGTCAGCAAAATCATAGGAATCCTCATCTAGATACATCAAATGGCTTTTAAATTGCTGAAATCGGTTCAGGCGTTTTTGAGCAAACGTCGATGAAAGGTCTAATTTTGACAAATGCTGAAAAACGATACTAATTTTCGCAAACTTTGATTTTTTTTTGAAATTAAACGACTTGACGTAGGAATGTAATATTTTAGTCTATCTATAAGACTATCTATAAGACTACCGCCAAAAAAAAATCATAAAAAACGTCGATTTTTTTTAACTTTTTAACTTTATTCCAAAAAAACTAATCAGCACGATTCCCAACCAATATCTTTCGAATAGTTTTTGAATTTCCATAATCGATTCAGAATTGCAGGCTAAAACGTGAACAAAAATTTTGTCACTTTTCTGCGATTTACAAAGAAACGGTTTGGCCGATCGTAGGCAAATCTAACAAACGATAGTCCTCACCGAGATACATCGAATGGCTTTTAAATTTTTGAAATCGGTTTAGCCGTTTTTGAGAAAATGTCGATTTACGGCAACACATTTTCCAAATTTGATCTCATTCGATTCAGAATGGCTTGAAACGTCAAGAAAAGATAAAATTAGCGAATCGATTTTTTTATGAAAACATAAACTTCTTCTTCGGGAAGTTAAAAAAAGTTTAGTTTTATTTGTGGCAGTGTGATGATCTGGACTAATTTGTAATTGGCATCATTGGAAAGCCTATAATGAGGATAAATCTAATTCATTTTCGTTCGTCAGATGGGTTATGCGTTCCTGATGCCTAAATTTACTCGGACACGTTCCCTGCGCAAATCATTATTTACAAAACACAAACTCTCATTAATTTATTGTTTCGTAACTTATAAAAATAACAAAGATCATAAATTTATCATCTCTCATTGATCATTTCTTAGCTCGAATTAATTCGAATTTACTGTCACAGGTGCCCAGAACGATTTACGAGGATGTACGGAGATAATGAACGTAGCGATCGCCCAAGGCATTCCGATGCGATCTTCGCACCATTTGAAATTTCTTCATCTTTTACTAGGAAAACGAAAGCCTGATATAGTACCCGTTACAAAAATACACGTGCCTAAATATACTTTAAAATTCTAGTTCATCTTTTTGTAGTTATAGTATTTATGAATATACAATGCAGAAATTATAATATTACAATGTTTTGTATAATATTTTTTGTCTGTACAAATAATGCATAAAATCGTTCTATAAATTCTTAAAAGCTGAAAAACTATTACAAGAGCGAATACTTTGACAACGATGCATTGTAATTTCATTAAAAAGTTGTGATTAATTATTGTTCTAGTGAATTAGCATAAAGTACGTGATATATGTGAATTAGAGCTAGAACATGTAATCTATAATAATTTTAAAAGCAATAATTAAATAAATATAATAAAATAATGTTATTTTTTAATTATATTATTTTTACTTTACCAATTTTTAAATGTTATTTAAGTCTCATGCAACTAAACGAAGATAAAAGTTTTTAAAAGAATTCCTATACATGAACTGGTAAATATTAAGATATTACGATACAAGGAGACTTTTCATAGCAGTTTAGATCAATATTTAATTAGCCGACAAAATGAAATCATTTTAATATACGAGGGCCGGTTAACAAACATTTAGCCTCACCGTCCTATGATGCTGCTACTGCAAAGGTGTTCACGATCATGTAAAACATTCTTTTACTAGCCTACTGTTAATTCCTTTCATTTGTTTTATTTTGACAGCCTTTGGAAGCTAGCGTGTTGATCAGTTTTAGTTGCACAAAAATGAAATAAAGAAGAATATCTTTTGGTGATTAGATTATTTTATCCTTTGGTGATTAGAAAAAACGCGCAGCAAAATCAAAGATCGCTTGGATGCTGTACTCTTTTTCTTTAATGACGACCGTCGAAAATTGGTTCAACGAGTTTGTTCGTAGCCACACGTCGGTTTTTGAAGAGCAGCGCCCAGATGCCCCAAAAACGGCAATAACGAAAATATAAAAAAGATCCGCGAAGTCATGTTGGCAGACCGTCGATTGAAGGTTCCGAGAGAGCTGAAACTGTAGGCATCCCAGAAAGACGGTCATCAGAGTCATATTTTACACATAAGTTCTGATCATGACACGTCAAACAAAGAAAAGGCAAAGATTTATAAAATAATCTTTAATTTCAAACGTTTTGACATACAATTTAATGTCATCATCAGTGGATCTAAAAACAGTATAAAATTAATATATCTAGGTAATTATAAAATATGTGGATTGGTAAACTATAGAAACTGTAAATATAAGGGAAAAACTAGTTGGTTTGGTATTTAGCCTTGAGGCAAGTTACATGAACTTCCCGAAATGTGTAAATAATCGACTTAATCAATAAAAAATAAATTAATTTATGAGTGATTATAAGTATTCCGAGTGGATTTATTACACATCATTGCAAACGAGCGAACGAACATGTTAACTCGGAATACTTTCTAAAAGTAAATTTTCAAAAATCAATAATTTTAATTAATTAATAATTATAATTGAAACAGTTTCCGTAGGACTTTAATGGTTTACTATGTTCAAGACCAAGTACACTATCGTTATACCAACTAAATCATCTAATTTTATTTTTAATAAACGCCAAAAAAACTACTCATTTTCTCAAACTTTCATAAATATTAAAAATTAAACTACTTGTAGTAAGGCCGTAATATTTCAGTAAGTTCTATAAGACCATGATATATATATATATATATCACCAAAAAAAGTTCCATAAAAATTGATCTGAATATACAATTTTTTATATAAATATTTGATTTTTCACATTTTCATTCAATTGAAAAATAGTGAATGTCAATTTCATATATTCAATATGCAGTATATTTGTAAATGTCAAAATATTTCCTTTTTGGTCGAAAATTATTATATGATATTTATTTTACAATATTGTGTTGTATTTATAATTTGTTCGGCAATATAACTTGGAATAATTAATTTATTTGTTTCTTATTGAAGTCGTTAAACATTTTTATTTGTGAAATGTCAAATTTTTGTTTATGATTAATTTTAAATTCAATATGTCGCTTTTTTATTGTGATCTCTGATCTATAAGGTTTTGATGAAGTTTTGGTATCCGAAATAATTTGGTAAGCTAATCAAATAAATATAAATTGCAAATCTATTTATATAATTATTTTCATAAATATTGACAAATGACATTTGACGATTTTCATGTCAACAATTATTCAAATTTATAAACATTGACTTTTAATTAGATTTAAAACTATAAATTGTGATTTTGAATATAGCATTTAATCTAATTTGGATATAAATGCTGGGTATATCTATATATGTATATGTTTTTGAATTAAATTTTTTGAACTGTCAAATTTTTTTTTCAAAAATCATAAATCTTTTTTTCTCGAGTTTTCCATAAATTTTGACATTTGTCATTTTAGTGTTTTGTTTTTTTTTGCCATTTTCTGTCAAAATTTTTAGAAATTTATAAAAATTATTTATATTTAAAATTTACTTTTCAAAATTTCCTATAACCTAAGTTGGATATATATGCACACGTTGAGCCAATAAAATTTAAAATCGGTCCAGTAGTTTGGGCGTCCATCGCGAACCAACATCGTGACACGAGATTTATATATATATATATATATAGATATATATAAAAGAAAATAAAACAGATAAAATGAAACTTACATTGGACATGGTATTTTAAAAATGTGTACACATCACAGAATTTTGCACTAATATTGATACAACTAACCAGTCGACAATCATGAATTTTTTAAATAATAAAAATAATGAGAGTTTTTGTTTTGCAAAACTGTGGAAAAAATTTAAGTATTTTTGCACAGACCGGAGGATGTGTAATCGCTGCGAGTCCCGAGGCAAAGTGAACACATGTGGGGTAAAATTTTGTTTTAAGGACACTAAAACGTTTTTACAATCAACGTGGCAATGTGTGGGTGAGTAAGGCTAGGTTTTTATGTTCAGAATTGACTGTGTAAGGTTAGGTGAGGTTTACATGAACGGATTTAGTTTTAAACAATTAATAAAAATAAAAAAACGGAAAATCAAATTTAACGACAATATTACACGGAAACTCAATGGAAATAAATTTAGAAACTCAATGAAAACAAATTTAGAAACGTTATTAAGTAACTTGGTAATTTTCGCAGAGTAAGGAGGTATCATTTCTTTTGTTTGGACTATTTTTAATCAAGGTTATGTAACAAGATTCTGCAAAGCGTCTGTGAATTATGTTTCGTTCGTGATAAAGAATACGGGCATTACAAAAGTTAAATGCGTGTTTAAAATTTTTGATGTGGTCTGTAATCATGGTTTGGCTTTGGTTGGGATTTTTAGAATTATTGTCATGTTGTTTAAGTTTTTTTTATCAGATTTTGTCCAGATTCACCCACATAAGTCGAAGGGCAATTATTGCAATTTATTATGTAGACAATATTGGACGTCCGTTTTAAGCTAGTGGGCGATTTGAGATTTGAATAAAGAGAAATGAGGGTTAAATCTGTATTGCATGTTAACCTGATAACTACCTAATGGAAAAGTTTTTTTCACACTGGGAAAAGTTTTTTTATATATGGTAGACAAACGTTACCGATAAAATTATTGTCTTTAGAATTTTTTACCGGGGAAAAAGAATAATTCGTACTGTTGAGAGTTCTGAGTCTATTGGTGGTGACGGAGTTAACGAGGTGCGGTGAATATGAGTTGTTGATTGAAGTCGTGCGGATGAGGGATAAGTTAGAAGGCCAAACTTGTTTGTCTAAGAGTAGGATGGCATGGTCGACTAAATTAATGATAGTATCTATCTTTAAGCTAGAGGGGTGGTACGAATGATAGTTTAAATACCTACCCGATCAAGTAGGTCTTTGGAACCAATTAGTGATAATTGTATTGTCTGTGGTTTTTATAATTTTTTCGTCTAAAAAGCTGATAGAATTGTCTTGTTCTTTTTCAAACGTAAAGAAAAGATGCTCGTTAAATGAGTTAAAGCTATGAAGATAAAGTTCGAATTTTTTAACAGGAAGACAGGTAAAAATGTCATCAACGTATCTGCAATAAAAATGAAGGTCTAGATTGTAGGGATTAAAAACTTTCAACTCTAAGTGTTGTAAAGCAATTTTTGCGAGTGCTGGAGATATAGGAGAGCCCATAGGTGTGCCAAAAATTTGAAGGTAAAAATGGTCGTTGAATTCGAAATAAGTATTAGAAACTATGAATTTTATTGACTCGAGAAATCAATGCAGTGATAACGTTGTATGACATGAGATTTCGTCCCATCTAGCAGGGATGGCATCTAAAATTAATTGTAGGGGGACGTTAGTAAATAAGGATACTACGTCTAGACTAGACTAACCAATAAGGAATTATCAGGAATAACGGAATCGCGGAGATTGTTGACTAGTTAAAGGAGTTTTTTTTAAAAAAAACGAGAATTGACCGTGATTGAGTAGAGTAAATTGCTTAGATATTTGGAGAATTTTGAAAGAGGTGAGTTCAACGATAGGTCTGAGAGGAACGTTATGTTTATGTATTTTGGGAAGTCCGCAGAGTTTGGGTTTGTAAGGGTTAAGGTTTTTAATTGTGAGTGAGATTTGTGGGGTAATTTGTTTGTTGATTCCGTCGGTGGGATCAAAGTTAATGGGGGAATATGTTTTTGTGTCTGAAATTAATTCGGAGACTTTTTCTAGGTACGTAGTTTTATTGTTTTTAAGCTTTAATGTCTGTAAGGTTGCCAATATTGTCGATTTTTTTTGTGTTAAAGGATTTAATAAACGAGAAAAATTTTTTACAAAAAGCTGAACGGGTATTAGTTTTAATTTTGGGATTTTTTATATTCTGTAAGCTTGACTCTAATCTGCCGAGTACTTTGATAAAATTAAAGTTATGACAGTTATTAGGAGTGGCAAAATTTGGGCCTAGTGCAAAAATATAGAGTAGTCTCTCTGAAATATGGATTTTAGATAGATTTCTTAGCCATTTATTGATAAGAGTTTCGTTTAGGATGATTTTTGACGAGTTAATTTTTGATTCGTGAAGGTTTTTGATTTGTTGTAGTTCTTTTTAATATGGATGGATTCGAATTCAGAGAAGCTCTCCAGGATCTCGGTTTCAACAGAATACGATAACCAGGAGTAGATTTCATCAATATCACGTCTCAGGTTGTCGATGTGACAAATGCAATTTGTGATTTCTAGTGAGAGAATATGTAAACTAAGTGTAGAAAACTTGTTGTTAAGAGAATTGTTTAGATGGGAAAATTTTGCAAAATTTAAGCGGTAAAAATTAGGTATGATACCTTCTTTCCTGCATCTGATTAGAAAAATCTGTTTATTGATAATGGTAGATAGCTTGAAGTTTAGTTTTGCTAATAACTTAAATTCTGATAAAATGTAAGAACCATAATGTTTATCGTTAAAATGGTAAATGGAAGGATTAGGGAGAATGTCATTGGTGGTACAATGCTCTTGTTCATAATTCTTAGATGTAGCCTGTGTGGGATTCATAATGTCCGTTAAATGAAAAAAGTAGCAAAAAATTGGAAAAAAGTATAAAAATTGGTGATTCAATAACAAGCAATTGGTATGAGAGCGTGCAGAGTAGAACAATCTTGAATTAAAACTAAAAATAAATGTAAATGTACAAACAATTAATAAGAATAAAAATACGACAGAACTTAAAAATAAATAAAACAAAAACTTGAATATGAACACGGCTGTACAGTAGCCGCAATTAGGAAATGCTAAATATTACATAGGAAAAAGTTTCAATATATGAGAGAGATAAAAGTCTTGAGTTGATAATCAGTTGCGTCTTGTGAAGATAAGAAAGAGTCTTGAATTGTGAAGAAGTAATTCCCGTAAAAAGGAAAAGCGTAGAAAAATCCTATTTCCAGCAAAGGATGTTATATGATTTAGCAGTTAATTTTGATGTTGAAATATATGAGTGAGTTCTTGAGGGCGATACATCAAACAAAGAAAAGGCAAAGATTTATAAAATAATCTTTAATTCCAAACGTTTCGACATTCAATTTAATGCCATTATCAGTGGATCTAAAAACAGTATAAAAATTAATATAACTAGGTAATTATAAAATATGTGGATTGGTATAAAACAGTATTTTCTTCCGTTGGTAGTTTTTAAGCATTAGTTAAAAATGTAATTATTTTGTAAAATACCTTTAAAATTATATTAAGGCTTAAAACCTTTTTGCCACCTGCCCGTTTTAAGTTACCCCGCCTCTAGGGTAAAAAGGTCTAGATAACAAATTTTTGAAAGACATAAAAAAAGCACATTTCTATAATGATAAAGTAGTAGGCAGTTTACTGAGCGTTGTCAGATAATTGTTCGTTTGAAATGTGTTATTTGTTGTGATATAATTTGTTTGTTTTTTATAATATAATCAATATTTGCTCAAAGTCAAATTGAACCTTTGTGCCTCGCATTGCTCTACACTACATATATACTATTTATTAAATTTACTTTAAATTATTCATGGAATGTTACTTGAAACTTTTCAAAAAGCAGGTCAAAGAAGAAATACTTAATTCATTTTCTATCTCTCCTCGCAAAAATTTGAAAATTTTGTATAGGCTCAGTAGTATTATTTACAATTATATACAAAATCCAGAATCCAAAAAGAATCTGAAAAACTTAAAACGTAATCAATAAGTAGAAAGACCAAAAAAGACTTGGATGGATTATACTATGTTTACTATAAAAAGTGTATAAATCTTCCAGTTTGATTGTATTGACAAAATATAGACAAACTAATGAGGTTTATTGTTTTTATAATACCTCATTGAATATAGCATTCAAACAACACATTCTTATACACTTAAAGTATTAATATTTTTGATTGTCTAGAAATTGTTTAGTATATTCCTTACTTAGCAAAACAACGTTTGCCGGGTCAGCTAGTATATATATATATATATATATATATATATTTAGATTATGCATATGTTATTATTATTATAAATTTTATTTTATTAATAAGCGTTATTATTATTATTAAAACTATAATTCAAGATATTATTTTAAAGATCTGTGCTATCTATTTGCTTGAAAGATTCATTGACGATGCCTTCTTGAACTTGCTGTTTTCTTGATTTCATTTTTTTATTCAATATATAGAGCCACCTATGTAAAAAACGAAAACAAAATGCTTAAAAATTATGAATGACTAGATTCTAAATTCAATTATAGCAATTGATCAATTTACTATTTACTGACTGATTTGATTACGATTATTGTATTGTGTAATTACGTTATAAAATTGTTATGCTGTTTTTTTATCAAAACATTGAATTAATTATTTTATTTCCCGCGGTGCATCTTTAGATAGATATGCGGCCTTGGAATTTTAAATTACGGTTTACAATAACTGAAATGAAGTAAATAACAAAAAAACGTAATTATGAGTTAATTCGCAAATATTTATTAAGATATTCAATGATAATTTGCTTTTTGCTAATTGCTAAAGATTCATTTGACAAACTAGTAAACATTACGAATTACTTTCGCGCGATTTTTCATTTAGCTTTAATGCTATGCATATAAAATTTGGATTGTTTTGCCATGATTTCACGAGTCATATATTTGCAGTCACTAAGTCTTTGGTACAAATTTAATTGTGTGCGTTTAATTAAATATTTGACGTTGAAATATATTTGCAATTAATTAGAATAGAGTTAAAAGAATAACATTCTTTATTAATTAAACTTATGAATAAATAAATAAATATATATATATATATATATATATAAATTGATTATATTTATTCTGTAAATATTTTCTAAAAAATGGTACAAATTCTTTAGAATAAACAGGAATAAATTATTCTCTAGATACTTACATAAACAACAAAATAGCTGGTATTATAATTCCTGAACTCATAAAATATATTGTTCCTGGTAGCGTATCTAATGTTTTGTTATAAACTATGTTGTATAATGGGCTGAAGATAGTGATCAATAATCCTTCAACAACACCAAATACCGACTGAACTTTTCCTGAAATCATAAAGTTAGTCACGTAAAATTACATACTTATAAAATCTTCGTAGTGTGATTAATGACGATTAATGGTCAAAGTCTCAATAGTTTAATTATGCATCCTAAATTTTAATTTGCGGCTCTACAATTATAACGGCGTAAAACAGTAAACTGCCTTAAAATAGAAGTGTTCGCATTTATTATTTTTTAAAAGGACGCATGCTTTTGGTATTTATATCGGTGTGAATAAAATAATTAATGCTATTTTTCCATGCCTACCTCTTTCTGCATCTGGAACAAGTTTTGTAGCCAAACTTCTGATTGCTATGGGTTTAGTACCACTGAAGAACCCAATAACTGGGGTCCAATAGAACATTGACCCAGTAGTACTTACACCTCCCCATATACTTGCAGCTAGACTCGTGCATGTTCCCAAAATACCAATTAGAGGATCTGACATTCCGAATCGCTTGCTAAATATGCTGAGAACTATAAATGTACCTGCAAAAATATAATATTTATACAGCGACTCACGAAATTGATCAAATGTTTGAAATATTATCAACAATTTGTCTTAATTCTATGTTTTTTGTCAAAACGAATTTATAACTTTATCAGAAGACTCAGTTTATCTTTATTTAAAATCCTTAAACTCTTTCCTACTTGTATTACAAACATAATTAACTCTGTCCTATTACAAACTTCTCAAGACCACTTTATCGATTTTGTGAGTTTTAATCACACTCTCAAACAGTAATAGCCCGGTCAATTTAAACCTAAAATTAGGGTGAAGGTTATTACTTGTAACTTGGCAAAATTGTTTAAAATACAATTATAAAAGAGATCTCAAAAGGCTGATTAATCCGATGCGAACTAAAAAAATGGCACAAGGTCAAAGGTAAAAAAGTGACTCATTTGCGATTTTTAGCTAAATGGTCAGTTTTATCGCAAAATTACTTAAGACAATATTGTAGAGCATAAAATTATCTACAAAAATGCATCAATACTTTTTTTTGCTCAGAGCCACCGTTTTAAAGATATATCACTTTGAAAAGTATAGTCGGGTGAACAGAAGTGTGCCACGTTTTTATTTTTGGTTGTAAAATGATTAAAAATGAAAGTATTTTCTTAATTTTTTCTTTTTTTGCAAAGTTTGGAAAGTTTGGAATATCTCTTTGTTAATGACAAATAGTACTATTGCTGTTGGTGAACATATTTATTTACACGTCTTACATACTGCTCGAACTCCAACTGAACAGATTATGTATTTTTATAAACGAGGGCAAGTTTACACTAAAAGTAAAGAAGAAGCAGAAGACGAAGAAGAAGAAGAAAAAGAAGAAGAAGAAGAAGAAGAAGATCAAGAAAAAGGATACGAAGAAGATATAGAAACATTTGAAAATTATGACTCCCAGGAATAAATTAATTGCTTTTTTTAATTACCGCCTTCATTTTTACCAACCCAAATTAACAAAATGCGTAAAATAAATATATTTATTAACTTTTCGAAGAAGAAGTTTGTTTTCATCAAAAAATTCTATTCGCTAATTTTATGTTTTCTAGACGTTCCAAGCCATTCTGAATCAAATGAGACCAAATTTGGAAAAAGTATGTGTGTGTATGCGAACAGTTTTTTTTGTCGTAAATCGAAGTTTCATTAACACCAACATCACATTGTCTTAAAAAATGTATTTAATTTTGATTGACAATAAAAGTATGCAAAAAAAAAAAAAAAGATCGAAGTTTTCTCAAAAACCGCTAGACCGATTTCAAAAATTTAAAAGCCATTTGCTGTATCTTGATGAGGACTATTTCAGTTGTGAAAAATTATTTGGCCACATTTTAGCCTGCAATTCTGAATCGATTTTGAAATTTCAAAAACTGTTTTAAAGATATTGGTTGGGAATCGTGCTGATTAGTTCTTGGTAAATATCGGCCGGGCCGCTTTCTTGTAATAAAGTGTTAAACAAAATTTTTATGACGGTTTTTATGATTTTTTTTTGACTGTAGATACCATAGATTATACTAAAATATTACGGCGCTACGACAAGTAGTTTAATTTTGAAAATTTATCAAGGTTTAAGAAAATGAGTAGTTTTTTTGACGTTTGTTAAAATTAAAATTAGACGATTTACTTGATATATTGATGCATACAAAACCATTAGAGTCCTACGGAAACTGTTTCAATTATAAAAATTGTTGATTTTTGAAAATTTGCTTTTACAAAATACTCCAAGTTAACGTCTTCGTTCGTTTTCAAGTATGTGTAATAAATCTACTCAGAATACTTTAAATCACTCATAAATTACTTTATTTTTTATTGATTAAGTCGATTATTTACATATACCGGGAAGTTCATGTAACTTACCTCAAGGCAAAATACCAATACCAACTAGTTTATATATTAGTTTTATATAATTGTATTGTATGTGTGTAATAAATTATTTCAAATTCAATTTTATATCTTAAAATTTAATATTCGTTTCAAAATGCAAATAAAGGATGAAAAATATACACAATAAATAAGAATAGTTAATCGGCATTTGATTGTTATTTATGCCAGAGCAATGTAATGCAAGTATATTAAGTTAGTCATAAAAATAATAAATAATATATAACAATCATTAAACATAAATTATTAAACTTAAATATTCAATATTAAATATTAAACATAAATCAATAAACATAAATAAAAATCAAATCCCCATGTACTTTTATTATTTATTGTGTATATTTTTCATTTTTTATTTAGGAATAATTATTTGAAATATTAATCATATAATATATTTGTGCATTTTGAAATGAATATTAAATTTAAAAATATAAAATTAAGCTTCTTGAAATAATTTATTACACACATACAAATATATAAAAATAATGTATAAATAAATATTACGCATACACAATTATAAAAATACTTAAAATATAAATGTACATATATGTAGTGCTTTACTAAATGTTTTACATAAAATTGTTCAATATTCAGAATTTGCTATTGAGAAACGACTTACGCGGCTGTTCTATGAGTTCGAGCATGTACTTCCTCAGGTTTTTTCAACTTTTGAATGTGTTTTACCACATGGACTAAAACTAAATTGTGCATAGCAGAAAAAAACGAATAGCCATTCTGACGATGCTAATTAAAAATTAGTCCAAACAACCGCACTACCCAAAAATTTGGAACAAAATATTGTTTTGACTTTTTTATAAACTAACAAATGATTATAATCATTAATATATAATAAATAATAAATAATAATTATTATTTAACAATATAGTTCACACCGATGTGAATAGAATATATATATTAAGCTTAATATATATTATTAAGCTTAATTACTTTCATTTTTCAAACAATAATTTAAGTCTGTTGCTGGTTCAAGTTTAATTCTTACCTATAAGATGTATTACTGTATCGCATGCGTTGTACACGGTGAAGTCAACTGGTTCCCACGAAAATCTTAAACGGGTGTAGTAATATACTAATGTTGCCTCGCCTGTAAGAATGCACAATGCGGATATCATAGATTGTATTTGTGAATAAAAAACCATAAACAAATGATGTCATCATAGAGTAGTAATTAAATATTAAAGACTATTGGATTAATTCCGGTTTACTCTTAACCGGTTTTGCAATGATTTTTGTATTGTATTTTAGATTTGAATTTATCTTAATTTCTAAAATTTTATCTAAATTTATATTTATTTATAGTGAGCTATCATGCAAATAAGAAGCATATACGATGTTTTTTCTTTTAAATGATATGGTTTAATGAGCGCCATTTCCACCAGAATTAAAGTAATTCACATTCCATCTAGAATTCACCTCATTATAGACATCTTGATGGATTCTAGCAGATTCACTATTTCAGTACAAACTATTTTCAGAAAACTCACGATTTTATAAAAACATTTTTTTCCAATTTGCGCGGTCGCGCAATCTTTACACTTTCATAACTCTGTCAGTTTTTGTGTGAAAGAAAAGTAATAAAAAACAATAATAAGCCAGAAAGATCCCTTTGATTTTTATTTATATGCTTTTATACGTATCTTTTATTCTTTTTGAGATATAATGAAAATAATTTCGATTTTAACAAAAAAATGGAAAAAAAGTTTTTATAAAATCGTGAGTTTTCTGAAAATAGTTTGTACTAAAGTATTGAATCTGCTATAATCCATCAAGATGTCTATAATGAAGTGAATTCTAGATGGAATGTGAATTACTTTAATTCTGGTGGAAATGGCGCTCATTAAACCATATCATTTAAAAGAAAAAAAAACATCGTATATGCTTCTTATTTGCATGATAGCTCATTCATTTTAAACACAAAAAACTTGTAACAGCGCTAATTTTAAAGCTTATGTTGAGCACTATAAAACCCAATTTCACCGAAATGCATAAAATGTAAAACCTCGCCACTAGAAGGCTTTGAATATAACAACTAAATCTTGAACGAAATAAAAAACGACTTTGCTCTTTCAAATCTTGCTTAATATTTTTCCTAGAACACTTTATGTAATACCGATTTATTAAGATTTTTATTGACATTATTTTGTTCATTACATGATTTTCGTTAAAATGTATATTTTAGAAGATATTTGCAAAAAAACGGAGAAAAACGCCAAAAATATATGAATCTTTAGTGGCCAGTAACTTGAAAAGTATTAGTTTTTTTGAAAAACTATAAAAGAAATTTTTTCTTATAATTAGTTCTTCTATCGAATTCCGACGTTATTTTGAAAAAATGTAATTACACAATTGAGAAGGGGTGTCATCCCCCCGGGGGGTGATGGCGCAACCCGAATTGTTTTCACTTTTGAACTTGAGGGTAAGATGAACTTAATTCCAAAATTTCATTCAATTCGGAGCACAGTAAAAAAATTCAGAGGTTATACCCTTTTTTCCTCTCCGTTTACTGCACTACATAGAGATTTTAAAAATAAGTATAAATTTTGTTTACATTTCTATGGGTTCCGCACCAATGCTTATCCGTTAGACGGCAGCTTACGCACTTTGATATTTTGTCTCTATGCAGTTAAAGCAGTACGATTGCTTTGAAAAAAAGTTCAGAATTTACAAAATATTTCAAAATACACCTTTCTTCAAAAAGTCTTTCTTTCAAAAAAAAAGTAAATTTTTGTCAAAAATTTATAGTTTCTCAAAAATCTAATTTTTCGTATTTTTTTTTTCAAAAATGTTAATGTTGAAATTTTTGGTACGGGAAGTTCCGGCAATTTGCCTTGAGGCACGATGCCATGCGCCCCAGTAGTTTATTATTATTTTACTCACCAAGGCCTGGACCAAGAGCAATCAAGAAAACGGCTAGTGACAGAAAAATTTTTAATCTTCCATATTCAGGTCTTCTTTTAAGACACACTCTTATTGTTTCTAGGACGTGTCTAGGATCGAAAAAGTCTACACAGAAATTTATTTTTCGATGTTCAACTTTAATTTCCGATTCTTTAACGCAAAACTGTCCATATAAAATTCCCACAGCATATAGCACTGCACTTAAACCAAATATTCCAAAATATCCTAATTGTTCAAACAGATATCCGCTAACAGCACCGCCGATAAGGAATCCTACAGTGACACTAATACTTGCAACACCAATTCGCAGTGTTCTATCTTCTTCAGAAGTAATATCCCCGAGGTAACTAAAAATACCCATCAGATGACACTCAGACCCTTCTAACAGACCTGTTATTTGAATGCTAATATCTTTCATGAAATATGTCGACAGCAATAGCCACATCGTGCTGATAAATTCTCCAATTATTGGAATCAGCATACAAGGTTTTCTTAAACCACGCCTGTCGCTCCAGGATCCTACAAATAAAATAATCAAAGCTGGAAGAAATGTAGCTAATGGTAGTTTCCAAGCATTTACTTCAGCCACAAGTTTTTGCGTTTCTTCTTCATAATGTGATAGATTTTGGAAATGATGAATTAATAATCCATCGCATATTTCATCGCTGTAGTCGAAACCTGCTCTGCACGCTTTCTCCAAGTAAAGTTGAGCTACAGCTATTGCTGATATCGCACTCGGAATGCAATAACACCATAAAATAGGTTCTACTGTAATTGAATGAAAAAATCTTTTAATAACGTTCGGTTTCTTTTGCTCTGCGTCTTCCACTTGCTTTGATTCTGCATTCTCATCTTTTACCGGCAATGTATCTTTGATTTTATCGTTAACTGGTTCTTCTTTTATTTCCATTTTATCATGTTATTTTTCATTACAGTAAAATACTAATACAGCAGAGTTAATGCACGTAGCTAAAGCCGAGTACATTTGTTTATACTGTGTTTGCACAAGTTTGTTTTGAACTGACGCGGGCAGATTAACCACGCTCACTTTTCTGTAAAGACACTATGCGGAATACACTAGACTAGACACTGAATGGAATCTGAAGAAACCAGCCTGGCAAGCCAATTAATTATTAATTAATGGTAGCTGTTGCAAAGTGAAAAAATTCGATTCACTTGCATTTTAAGACATTCATACATAAAATTTTGCATTATATATCTTATATATAAAACTCTTCTGTAATGATGTATGTAAGGATACTCCTTCTAAACGATTATTCGGATTTTGCTAAATGTTTTTTAAGTTTGTTAAGATAAATTTTTAGGATTTGAATGATTATAAGAAATATAGTAATATTGTAGTAATAAATGGATAAAATTGCAAAAAACGACATGTCAATGTTTGACATTGAAAATATTTTGACAAATGAAAACAGTCATCTGCCAGAAATTTTAATTCACTTATGAGCCTAGACTATATTAGAATATAATATATTCATGATTATGAATAAGAAAAATGAAATGTCAATATTATTATTGCCGAAAAGCAGCTGAGATGTGCCAGAAATTAAAATAATGTAAAATACGATATATGTTGGCAGATGAAATTATATATTTCAGTTTGACATTATTATTAACTAAAGCAGATTATTATTAACTAAATCAGATGATTATTACATTATTTTACAATACAAAAAACTTTACTTTATTTTTCTTTACTTTAATTATTCAAAAAATTATTTAGAAGTTTCATTGTGTCAAAAATTCATTTGTTTGGCATTGGATACGGAATATTTGCTCCAGTCAATGGTGCGTTTTGGGTCTGAATTTTTTTATTGTTGTCCAATATGCATGAAATTTTGGAATAAGGTTCGTCTTACTCTCAAGTTCAAAATTGAAAATAATTTATATTTTGCCGCGCCTCCCCGGGGGTATTACACCCCTTCTCAGTGGTGTAATTTTATATTTTCAAAATAACGTCAGAAATCGATAAAAGAACTAATTATAAGAAAAAAATATTTTAAAAAGTTTTTAAAAAAGCAAATACTTTTTAAGTTACTGGCTACTAGAAAATCGTTTCTTTTTGGCGTTTTTCATCGTTTTTTTGCAAATATCTTCAAAAATATACAATTTAATAAAAATCATATAATGAACAAAATATATAAATTATAATCATAATAAAGGTGTTTTATAAAGTGTTCTTAATAAGCTTTACACATATGCATACATTTTTTTTTTAAATCAAAGGGCTCAGCCCACCTATCAAAATTCATGGGTGGGCTTGAGCCCACACAGCCCACACAGCCCACACGGTTCCGACCCGATGGAATATTGCTAATAATTTTTAAATATAAAATATATGAATTTGCGAATATTTATTCTTATTTCATTTTGTAATCGTGTTTAATCCTATATATATATATATATATATATATATATATATATATATTATAGAATTTTATGATATGAGTGGAACGAATATATAATGTTTAATATGAACAAAACAGCACTCAGATTTTTTTAACACAACTTTAATATATATATATATATATATATATATATATATATATATATGTATATATATAGTAGATGACCCGACAGACGTTGTCCTGTACTCACATTTACATTTTTTTATTAACCTATACTAATATTTACACTGTTCAGTTAAAAATAATAATTATTGTTTTTCGAATTACTTTACACAAATATGAGCGATGTTAAATGTAGTACTGCTTCAAATAAAATTATGATTCTCAATTCCCATAGTTAACACTTTAATTATCCCTTCAACAAATATTAAAATATGTTCAATAAAATTGTATATTAAAAATTATACACTGCAATTAATAGAACAAATTTATTTCCAATAGCTCAATTTATTTTAATGCCTATTAATGGATGTATAAATGAATGATTTTTTGTTTATTCACGACTAAAACATTGATTTTCCAAATTTATCACACGAAACATCGTCTGCCTTTGTGATTTATAGCATAAGATATACGTATTGGAAATTGAAATCTTTTAAAAGGTATAACATATTTAGAAAGAATTAATATATAGCATTCGCGGTATAGGTACAATATCACCTTGAATTTTTCTACCCAAAATAATTGCTTGAAAAATGTTGCCTATAATTTTTATAATTTCGTACCATATTTTTGCTGGCTTTTAGTAATTTTAATATCTAAATTACATTTTTCTCACGAATAATTCAATATACATTATTACTTAAGTTCATATTTGAAGTGAATTAATTTGTCAAATCCTGTTCACATGTGCTCTATTCAACCTACGATAAACAAAATTATTGCAGTAAATAGAGAGGAAAAAAGCGTGTGATCTGCGAATTTTTTTACTATGCTCCAATTTTCTTCATATTTTGGAAATGGGCTAATCTTAATCTTAAGTTCAGAAGTGAAAACAACTTGCACTCCTTTATCACCCCCGGCATTAATTGGATTATAACTCTTTTAATTCTGATTTCATCAAAACTTGTAATATACGATTTTAAAGGTAATTAAATGACCTACAACTTTCTCAATCATGAATTTTACCGTAACTTCTCTTGTTTTGAAACGGCGAAGGGTTAAAGGGCTTGAAAGACACTCTGGTTTACAGCCGCGCACTCTTTAAACAATTATAACTTTATCAATATTTGTGTAACAAAAAATAATAAAAAGCAATAATTAGTCAGAAAAAACCCTTGAATTTCAAAGGTATAAGAATAAGAAATTGGTTGTTTTTTTAATGGATTTTTTTCATGAAATCTTGAGTTTTTTGAAAATTGTTTGTACTAAAGTTATGGTATTTTTTAGAATCCATCAAGATCTCTTAAACCAAGTTAATTCTAGATGGAATACGATTATTTTTAATTTTGGTGAAAGTGGCACTCATAAACTTTTTGATTCAAATGAAAAAAACATTGTATGCGTCTTTTATTTGCATGATAGCTCACTCATTTTACATGCAGAAATACTAATTTCAGAGCTTGAGGACTATAAAACCCCATTTTCTTATCTAGCTTAATATTGTTCCTAGAATACTATAAAACAGTGATTTATTAAGATATTAATTTATATAATTTTGGTCATTTTATTATTTTTGTTAAAATGTATATTTCTGAAGATATTAGCAAACAACTCTTTTAATTTTTCTTTAACGTTTAGTTAAACAATAATAATCTGTCAAATTGAATTTTAATATAGGGTATGTAATTACATTGAACTGACATTTCACAACCGTGAGACGCAAGCGCAGAACTGCATCGCTTGTCAGACGCATGTTGACTGCATTTTATTATATTATTTTAATTTTTGGCACATCTCAGCTGCTTTTCGGCATAAATAATGTACACATTACATTTTCCTTATTTATAATAATGAATTTATTATATTTTAATATTGCCTTAGCCTATAAGTGAATAGAAATGTTTGGCAAATGACAGTCTTCATTTGTTTTTAATGTCAAACTAAGCTTCAAATATTTTCAAAGTCAAACAATGATAAGCGGTTTTTTGTAATTTTTTCCATTTATTTCTACAATCTAACTATATTTCTATGAATCTAAAAATTCTAGAAAATTTCCCGAACAAACTTCAGGAAGATTCATGAAAATCCGAATTATAGTTTAGGAGGATTAACCATTCATACATAGTTACAGAAGAATTTTATATATAAGATATGAAATTCACCTTATGTCAGTTTATTCATTTGACCAGCATGATATTGGAAGTATTGGGAAAAGGTCAAGGCAAACGATGGAGCGGATATGAATGTTTAAATGGAAGATTTTTATTTCACCTGCAATTATATATAACTGAGTATATATATATATATATATATATATATATATATATATAATGTAGAATTGAAATATACATACAACTCTTTGCACTTCAAAATACTATTGATTTTTATCAAAGGTGGTCTTAGAATTAATTTTCTTTTAATTTTAATTTTTATAATGCGGAAGTAAAAAAGCATATATATCTAAATTTACGCCCTCCTTCCACAAATTTCTATTTCACAATAGCCATTTTAGTAATCGAATAATTTTTCACCACGCTTTCAGTTAGTCAGTGTCTTTTACTAAATTTTGACTAATTTTTTTCTGACCTTATGATGAAGCATGAATTTTACTTAAAAATTAACAATTTATTAACATCCCGTAAAGTAAGTCATTGTAATCGTCCAGTAATCGAAAATGAAATTTATTGCATATTTTCACCTTTTGAAGATGTCTGAATATTTTGGTATAACTTAGAAAAAATTGATGTGTGTGTGTATGTGTAGATACAACTTGTTGTCGACAATTTCGGCCGTACGAATCAAACAAAAAGCAATCGATTTCTATTGAAAGGAAGACGTGCTGATTAGTTTTTGGGAAAGGTCGGTCCAGCCATTTCGGAGATACTGAGAAAAGATTGCAGAAAATACAAATCGAGTTTTTGAGAGAACTGAGCATCCAATTTTAATGATTCGAAAAACAATCAATTTGCAATGATGGAGAGAAGTCGTGATTAGTTTTTGACAAAGGCGGGTTTAGCCGTTTCGGAGATACGCAGCTAAATATGCAAAAAATGCCAGTTTTAGAGAGAACTAATCATCCGATTTGAATGATTCAAATAAAATCAGCTTGTGTTGACGAAACGATTGCAGTTGATGAATGATTTTTTTTATTTCAAATTTGTTTTCGAATTTACAAATATTAATTTGGTTTTCAATTCGGTTCCGTACCAAGATTTTTAATTACGGTACGGGAAGTTCCAGCAATTTGCCTTGTATCCCACTAGTTTTTAAATTAATATATACTGATTCTATTTTTACGAAATAAAGACGGATAGTTGCTTTAACTAGTTCTCTATTAAATCAATATCAAATAATTTCCCAAGTTAGTTACAGTTACAGT